GTGCCTGCCAGCAGGTTGAGGTTTCCTATCCCATGCCCTTTGCCTGGTTTAGGGTTTTGGGGTTCTGGGGCTTAGGGTTTTAGAAGTTTAGGGTTCAGGGGTTCAGGGGTTCAGGGGTTTAGGGGTTTAGCGTTTAGGGGTTTAGGGTTTAGGGGTTTAGGGGTTTAGGGTTTAAGGGTTTAGGGTTCAGGGGTTAGGGATTTAGGGGCTTCTCATAGTGGCGGGCAGAGTTGTGGCAGTCCTCTACAATACTTGGAGGGTCATGAGGACTTAAAAAGTAGGTGAATAGTAGGGATAATCATGGTTACTATATGGGTTATAGGGGTTATTAGCCTACTTACCAATCCCCCTGACCCCCCAAGTCCTGGGGGGGTCTAGGGCAAACCAGTAGTGAACTAAGAGGGAAACGTCTCCACAGTTTTTGGCCATGTAACTCATTCCTTGGTTTGGAGCCTGCCAAGAAGCATGGAGTCGATCGCAAGGATGCCGCTGCTAGGTTTCTAAACGCGACGAAGGAAACAAGGGATTCGTCCTTTGTTGATGGCTTCATGATGGCTTAAGCGTTGTATACCTGGGTTGCTCCCTAAAACCCTTTGAAAATATTTATATATAGGGTCCCCTATTAAAGCCATTAGGGAAAATATTAAATATCCCAGGGGCCTACCCAAATACTAGTTGATAGACTTCCAGCACCGATGTAGGGATCCGTAACGCCTGCGGAAGCTTCCCTCTGGAAGGACGCCCCCACCCCCTAAATTAGTTATAGTCTACACTCCCGTTGCATCCCCCTTTTATAAGCCCTAGAGTCCCTAGAGTAATCCCTACGTAATCCCCTACATAACCCCTTTAAAGTCTTCACTATAGCTCAAATCTGTTACAATGCTTTTCTGGGCTTCCGGCGAGTGCAGGATGAGGCCGCCAAGGGTCTTCTTTGAAGCCAGCAAGGTAGCCGGGCCACTGGGCATCAGGATTGGGTTTAGGGTTTTGGGTTNNTAATGGGTGGGGGCAGGACCCTAGTTACTACCATTATTTCTAATACTTTTGTCTTTTCTTGTTTATTACTATTGTTACTAGTATAGCTATTGTTAGTCGTATTACTATCGTTACCATCATTACTATTGCTAGTAATGTTAGTATTACTATGAGAATGCTGAGAGGAGAGGTCCTCTAGGGATGTGCGACATTGGTATAGTAGCAGTGGGGGTCATGTACATCCACCAAATCCGTAATGGATTCAGCAGACTTCAGCACAGCAATTACACTACGCAAGGTCTTTTAAAGTCTTCCATGTTAATACTCTCTCTTTACTGAAGCCTTCGAACCCTGCATGTTCAGGTACGATCCCACGTGGAGTGGCCCTGAATGAAAGAAGCGCCTGCCCACGCTCTGTCCATAGGCCACAATCCTGCCAGCAGGGATCCATACCATCTAAACAGATACACAAATCAAACGTCTCCATGTTTCCGAGTACGTTGTGCAGCCAGACAGGGACTTAAACCCTAAACCCTAA